TCATTACTCACTCTGCCTCTGTCTTATAAAAAGCCTTTCTCTCCTCCGCTCCTCATCCGGTCATTGTTCTGTATTCACAGACATCTCAGTCCTCCTCTGTCCTGTCTGTTTTCGTTCACCTGGTAATCTGCTCTGCCTGTTTACTCTGATGTCCTGTTCAGTATTGTTTGTGATCGTGTTTTAGTTTTGCTGCATCAACAGCGTTTTGTTTTGTTGTTTAAATAAATTATTTTAATTTAAACTCCTGCCTCGCTCGCCTGCCTGCAAATGGGTCTAAACACTGAGAATTGTGATATTATGTAAACTTTCGTCACTTTGTTGTCTGTGTGGATCAGAACATGCTGATCCCGCAGCAGGGGGCAAATGCTGAGTCACGTTTCAGCCCATTATGTAAAGTTAAAGTTTCTAGCACGCGACATGTGGTCCAGCCACTGTACTCCCACTGCTTGGGACACACACATTCCTCCCAGCTTGACAGGAACACGTCTTTGTTAAGTCTGTGTTCACACTGAGACGTGTGATGTAGGCCTGCTGATGGGAACTCCCTCTGACAGAATGAGAGGGTTTCCCCAGTGATTCAGATCGGTACTCACGGAGGGGGGCAAAATATAATCCACCTCTTCTGGTGCACAGTATCTATGTGCAGGTGGGCAAACCATCTCTGAAGGCGTCTCATGTGAAGTAGGTCCAGCGGAACCATGATGTGGGCTGCTGACATCTTCCCAGGAGTCGCATGACAGGCAGAACTGTCACTATGCTGCAGGGTTTGACACGGCGGAGCTGGGTTTGACACGGCGGAGCTGAGCTGACAGAGCTTCGGCTCTCAGTTGTGATAAATGGGCTCTCATTGTAGTTGAGTTTAGCTCCACTTCCAAATAAACAATCATCTGGGATAGACAAACGTAAGTTTTTCCCAGTTTATAGAAACCCCAGGTTTAGCAGTTGGAACACTAGCATTTTGGTTTGTGCGAAAGCTTTCTAACTGGACCGAGTAAATAAGAGCAGATCATCCAGATAAAAATAATTCTCATTCCTGCCATGTGTAACGACTGCAGAGCCATCTCCACGCATTTCGATAATGTGCGTGGTGTGTTTCAGAATGATGGAAATGTGAAAATATGCGCTCTTCAGATCTATGGAGGTGAAAACCAGTCGTTCTGGTGAAGATCTCCAGCAGCTGTTTGTCAGCATGTGGAATTGTCTCCCCGTGATCGAATTGCTGAACATGAACAGGTCGAGAATGGATCTCATCCTTCCATTTTTTCTCAGAACCAGCAAGTAGTGGGAGGAAAAACCCTGTATTTTCCATTCTGTTGGGAACTCTGGAAATCACGTTTTTTCGTCAGAAATTTCTGAACTTCTGACTGGAGAGACAAGCTCTGTTCTGGAGAAGACAGAACCGTCTCTATAATCCCTCTGAACAGTGGGGGTTGAGCTGTGAACTGCAGCGTGTAACCCCTTCTGATCAGACGGTCCGTCTATCTGTCCAGGGAACACACTCGCTGCCACTCTGAGTAACGCTCGGAGAGTGGGCACGTATTTGTGTTGTGTCATGTTTCTCATGAACGTCAACCAGACTAAAAATCCTTACTGCCATCACTCGCTCCGGAGATCTCCGGGGGGAACTCAAGGAGGGCTCCGACAGAAAAAAGGACTGTAAATGTGCCTCTGTGCTGAGCCCAGGCTGCGGTCTCACATAGAGCTGAGGTGAGCCGGTGCGCACTGAGAGGAGGCGTGAGTGCTTTCTGAGTGAGACGCCGTTTCGGTGGAGGCTGCAGCTGTCGTGGAGAAAACACATTTACTCCCGCTGTACTGTGAGTGGGCAGAAAACAGCAGAAATTAAAAATGGGCTCTGGCTGAAAATGAGGGATTTTACCGGACTCTGCCTGCTGACAAAACAGCATTTTAGCTGACGTGGCAGACGAGTGTTTTGTGATATTTACTGAACTGCGGTGCCATTTAAAACACTGTTTAGAGGTTACTGGCTCATTCTGTGTGGGGAATGTGGGAAGAGAGGCAGCTGTGACCTCAGCTGATCTGTCAGTCTCAGATGAAAAAACTTTACTTTCAGAGGTGTTTCTGTTTTATATAAAGAATCAATCAACCTTTATTTATACAGGTAAATCCCATTGAGCCTCGAGGACTCATTTACAAGAGAGACCTGATTTCAACAAAGAAAGATGACAACAATGGACAACAGCAACAACAATAAACAGTTATAAAAAAGCATAATGCAGTTTTTTATTTATTTATTTATTTATTTATTTTTAACAAATAGGATGGCTAAAAGGAAAAGGTAACAAAACAAAAAACAGCTAGATTCCAAGACAAATGTAGAAAACTAAAAACAAGAACATGTCAGCATTGGACCCTGCCAGGTGTCCAACAGATTCTTAAAGACACTTAGAGAGGTCAGGGTCGAGAGCATCAAATCTTTTTGTAAGATATTCCAGGAAACAGGAGCGGAATAGGAGAAGGCCCTTTTGCCTATGTAGTGGACTAAGCCTGATGTCAAAACTGACCAGATGGACAGAAACTGTCATTTCATTGATTTGAATCCAGAAATACAGTTTGACCCATCCTGAGACTTTCTGTCTTGAATTAATCAAGTGGAAAAGACAATTCTCTATGATCATTACTATTTTACAAATGTTTTTATAATCAAATTGTGTTAGTTCAAACAATGTTTACATGTTGAAGTGAACTACTCATTTTTATTTACTTAAACAGTAGTAATGATTTTTATTCCTCAATTCAAAGTGAAATCAAGTTAGAGTACATTATAGAGTAATGATTCAATTTCTTGATCGTCTGCTTTGAAAGTGAGCAAGTTTGTAAGTGTGTTAGAGTTCAGGTTTCGGTCAACTAAGAAGTTTACTGAAAAGAAATGTCATGTTTAACTTTTACAGCAAGATACTGAGTAGAGACGCCACTAAGACTGGTTTTCTCCAACAATCTTTCTGTCTGTTCTTAAACAATCTTAATCTCTATCCTTGACTTTCCATAACACCTTACATCACAAACTACACCTCTGTTCTGGTCCATCCACCAATCAGAGGCTCTCAAATGAACCGGAAGTATAGCCCGTTTAAATGTGGCAACTTCCCAGTTCAACAGGAGAGTTCACAAAGAGTTCCAGAAGAGTTCAATAGTTGTGAAATCCAGAGTGCAGGGAGTTTGGGAGTCCGTGAATGCAACCGCAGGCATTCATGGATGCTGCTAAACCAAACAAGCTGAACCAGAGACGATTTTGGGAATTATAACTTCTGTTTGGATAACCTCACACGACTCCTAAGGTTTTTAGCTGTTCTCACTGAGACGCTGAACAGTGGTTGGAAGTAAGACTCCACGCCGAAACTGATCTATCTTCAGAAAAGGTAAAAGTCGACCTTCACCGAAAGTGTACTGTTTGGGACAAGCTGAGTTCCGAAGGAGCGTGCACGTTCTGGTTAAAACAGATAAATTCCCTCACACATCTCTCTGTAAGAT